AAGTCACCGTTTTTCTTTGGTTTTGGTCTGATAAATATTTTATATTATGTTGCTTAATATTTTAATGTACAGATTGTACAACATCAAATCTATAAATCTGATGATAACTTCTCCTTAGACATGCAAGGAAGAATTTCAATTCTTGTATTGCTGAAGGACTCCAAAGTGAACCAAAACGTACATAGTTTTTTGGAATAAAGGTTTAAGATTATTAAACTATTTTACCACGTTGACTCTCATTCGTCCTGTTTTTGAATACTTTTCTGGTTTGATTTTGAGAAAGTCCGTAAGAAGATTACATTATTACTAGTTAAATATAAGAAAATATAAATATACCTTCTTCTAGCATCGCTTCAATTTCTTCATCTGGCACATCAGAATCCATACTTTCATCTGTATCTGAATCTTCATCAGAACCATCATTCTGTTCTGGATGACGATCTAGATCGTCCAACACGTCAAATTGCCGTAAATCTTCATTATGTTGTGAATCTTCATTATGTTGTGAATCTTCCTGGCATAAGCCATTATGTAAAACATCTTTATTGTCAAGACATGTAGTCTCTTCGTCCGTGATATCATAATTACTATTCTCAGTGCCAGTCGATCTAGTATCAGGTTCTAATTTGATTGACTGTCTATTCGATGCTTCCCAATTCTGATTTTCACATTGTATGCTAGGGACTGTTCCGCCATCACAAATGTTTTGATTATTTGGATTATCTCCTGAAGCCATATCTTCCACAACTGTCTGTGTTATTTCAACTTCCATTGCGTTGTGTCACGAGTAATATCTGTTAAAATACTATAAAAGTACGAACAAGGAGCTCAGATGTTTAGCTGATAAAATTGGTACGACTACACAAATAACAGCAGAATATTCATCCCTATGTATCATAATCTTCTACCGTATTACTCATTCATCAGACAAAGCCTTATACAGTATTGAACTTTTTTATCATATTGTATGCACATTATACAGTAATTATTACATCTTATGCAAATTAACAATCGATACAGCTAATAATAATAATAAACAATAGTAAACTTAAATCCAAGGTCCATACAAAACAATCCGTGGATTAATATGTATTAAGCGCGTTGTATGGCCACACCACTTCCACCAATGAGGCCAAAGTCCAATCAATTTGAAACCACAAATGGCAATGAAAATTGGACATTTGCATTAGTGTTAGCAGTTTGGGGCCTATTATATATCCATGAGAGTATATTATACAAGCAAACTGTTATCGGATTTTGTAGATGGCTGAGAGAATTCCATCGCATTATTTAAACTCCAGATCTAGACAGGAACAACATTGAGAGATTGAAGCTGTTACTAGCTGGAGTTCTGCGACGATATAATTAAACAACTGTATACTTGATCCTTGGCTTGGTAGACTAGCGCACGCTTGAGAATTCCGTTTACTGAATAGGATGTGACAATAAAAACAGACTTTAAATGTATAACATACATAAATTTGTGTAAAAACCGTTGGCCACGTTACTTGCGGTATGCTACGTGGAAATAATACTTTTAAAGTGTGTTCCACTTGATGCTCGCAACGCTCATGGAATTATTTCATTCTTGTTATTTATCAAATATTAAACAAGGAGAAATAATGCACGCGAGCGTTATGAGCGTTAATGGAACTACCCTTAATTTTCCAACGACCTATTACTAACACGATAAGAATGTTAAGTAATTATGAAGGAGATAGACTCACTCACCGATTTCGATGAAATGAGGCTCATTCGACGCGTTTTTGCACGAAATAAACGAATCTGGTAGAAAAAAGTCGTTCTGCTCCGCAAACTGAGACATTAAGCGTTAAAGGATGACTATTCAGGTTAGGAAATCTGTCACAGTTATGCAACAGTGCAATGTGAATATGAAAAGTGTGTGTACGGAGACAGTTGGTCTGTTCGACTTGCTTACACTTTTTACACTCAGCATCTTTGCTTTCTCTCTTTTCAGCGCCAAATATGTATCTATCTCATTTTAAGTATAAAAAAGTGTAAGCAAGTCGAACAGAGCTATAACGTTCCACCCCCGCCCTCTTCGGGAGTTCCACTCCGAAAAAAAAACCCTAACCCATATTTTGGTATAAGATGGATCTTGTTTGTAATAAGTTGTAAATCTATAAGATTTCACATAACTTTACAACTTTCCATACGAAGCGATGTCCCTGTCACATCGATATATGGGGTGGGTTAGGTTATTTTTTTTTCGGAGGGCCATACACAAACACTTTTCATGCTCACATTACATTATTACATGGCTGTGACAGATTTCCTAACCTGAATAGTCAACTTTAACGCTTAATATTTTGTTTCGTGGAGCAGAGGGACACATTTTTCTGTCATTCGTTCATTTCGTGCAAAAACACGTCGAATGAACCTAATTTCACCAAAATCGATGATTGAGTCCGTTTCCTTTATAATAACCGAATGTTAATTAAATTAACGCAACTGACCTACAAAATACAATAAAACCGGCCTAAATACAATACATACGCGGTCGTGTTACATTTAATTCCTGATTCGGAAAGGAATATCTCTCTTTGTTGCTCACAATACCTTGTCAGAGACTACCTAATGATACGACACGAAACGTACATACGCTGCTTACCTACTATTAAATTTCATTCACTTCCACGTATTACATGAATTACGATCTACGCGTGTATATACAAGTCAATTTTTACAACTGTGGTGTTTATACCATGGTGGTATTGTAAAAAAAATCAAAAAGTTTACATAAGGAACACATTTAGACATCTAACTTTGAAGAAAAATGGAAAAGAACTGTTTAGACCATGGTGTAAAAAGATCGAATGACTGCGTCGTCTACAACATGGTGGAAATACATAAGGTTAGAGCATGAAGTAAGAGTAAGGAGACTCAACTAGATAGGACATGGAGAAAAAAGTTGGTCACGAAAAATGGCTGCGTTCAGCAGAACGTTTGTTTTGCAACTGTTGGAAGTTTCCTTCGCGCTGATTGGATCATACTTTTAGATCTAGAAGAATGGTCCTATCTCAGCAGACAATCATAAAACGGTTGCAAAACTGTTGAGTCTGCTGAACGCAGCCAATGTTCCGTGTACTGCCATGTCCGCCTAAAGCCCAGTGTCCACGATGCTAGAAATCCGTCCGAGATCTCGGATGAAGAAAGAATTGACCAATCGCATTGATCATGTGACTAAATTGTTTAAATGTGATTGGTTAATTTTCTACGATTTAAGACCCTACGATCGCTACTTCTATTGTAGACCCCGCATTAAACACCTATTGTAGATTCGGGCTTAAGCCTTGGCTGCGTTCAGCAGACTCAACAGTTTTGCAACCGTTTTATGATTGTCTGCTGAGATAGGACCATTCTTCTAGATCTAAAAGTATGATCCAATTAGCGCGAAGGAAACTTCCAACAGTTGCAAAACAACCGTTCTGCTGAACGCAGCCAAGGCTTAAGCCCGAATCTACAATAGGTGTTTAATGCGGGGTCTACAATAGAAGTAGCGATCGTAGGGTCTTAAATCGTAGAAAATTAACCAATCACAGTCGAATACGAGAAGAATAATCTTCGAGACTACATACTAGTTATTTGTCATCCCGACTCGATATGGCGTTATGTATATGTACTTTGGTTCTACAAGTTTTTTTCTCTAAAAATAGAAAAATTATATATAGATAAATATTAAATGTTAAAA